ATTTTGTACTAAACATTTGATTTTTCCAATAAAAAAATTTGACAATTTGTGTACCCAAATCATCAAAATAACTCGACAGTTAAAGGGTTAAGATGGTTGGCGACAATTTTCAAAATCGTGCCAAGGTTGTAGCATATACTAGGATTTTACCGCAAAATCTTTTAAACTTTTTTTTTTCCATTTTAATAAATGCCTTATTTGTCATTTTGCAGTAAAATAAAAAAATAATAATTAGTAATCTAGGCTAATATAACTATATTTGCCAAAATTTCGTTGAATATTGTAATTCAGTTTTTAAGTAATTAACTTTGTTTTACTGTTATTCGTATTATTTAATGTTGCTTCTTCCCTTTAAATTTATTTTTTCATTAGTTAATAATACGTTCAAATTTCAGGCAATTTCTCTAACATAATCCTGAAACTAATTCTAGTATTTGTGATAGTACGATCACAAAATTTAATGCACATACTTTTTACTTATTTATGCTGCTAAATAAATATAAAATACCTGAGTTTATTTAAAAATGTCATTAAATAGATTTCTTTCTTTTGTTTAACTGCAAAATGTCTGCAAAAAAAACATTTTTTAATCCAGATTACGCAGATTCTAATCTCAGTCTTCAGTAGAGGAAACAACTCCAATTATAGTTATAATAGTAATGCTTTGGGGATTATACATAATATATATATATATATATATATATATATATATATATATATATATATAATTACAAAACAATTTTTTAAAAACGAAATATAAACATGCCTAGTATTTTTGCACATCAAGCTGCTGAAAAATTATAAGTAAAGACAAAATAAAAAATTTAGAACTAACTTTTCAAAAAGACCAAAAATTGAAATTCATAGTTAATAAATTTCAAATAATCTATAAATGGAAAAAAGAATTTAAAAAATGTTAAAACCAAAACTTTTCAAACAAGCAATATCCCAATTCAAAAATTTAAAGAAAAATGAACATAATAGAAGAGGAATTCAATCAATTTCAATGCCACTTCATCAGGAGAAGGAATGTTGAAATCAATTGAAATCTCTCTTCCATAGAAATCCTTGGTTTTCTGTATCCAGAATTACCCGTGAACCATTTCGATGTATTTTAATTATAATAGTTCACCCGAAAATTCTGGCCCTTCCTTTTCGGAAGGGGAAAAAACAGAAGGGGGAAAGTAATTTCTAATTAGAATCTTATGCTTAAAATTAAGAGAATTCTAGTTAAAGAATGAAAATGTAAGTGAAATAATAAGATATTTCAGTGAAAAATTCAAATCAAAATTTTCGCTAAAATTTTATCATAAAGTTATTTTTATCATATCATTAAATTTTCACTAAAGTTTTATCATTTCACTGACATTTTAAATTATTTGGATTATATTCTATTTGTTTAAAGGTAAAATTTTGATTTGAATTTTCACTGAAGTATTCAGTCTACTGGAAAGTTCTGTCCGTTTTCGGAATAAAACAAAATACAAATTTTTCTTACCATCTAAAAACTTTAATAAAAAATATTATTGTCATTATTATTAATGCTTCTTGCCACCATGAGGGCAATTTGTATATCCCATTTTTGAAAAATGTTGTAACTTTTGATACGAAAAATTAAGCCAGTACTTGTTTGATATATTCTTCATTTTTGAATTTTTTGCCCTTCAAAAATTTTTATAGGGACAAAAACAAGTTATAATTGGAAATTTCTAAGTTCGGAGAATGTGGTGGGTGCGACAGAATTTCCCAGCCTTGTTCTGCGATTTTTTTTACGAGTCCCCAACGCAGTATTTGGCCTGGCATTATCATTATGCAGTATGATGTCCTTCCTATTGAACATCGCCATCCTCTTTTCTTGAACTGCTGTTTTTAAACTGTGTAGTTGCTGACAATTCTTCTCCAAATTGAGCTTTTCATTCAGTTTTAAAAGCTCATAATGTATTTGTGTTCGAATGTCCCACTATTCTCTTATTTAGAGTCAAATTTGGTTTACAAGTAGAAGGGCTTGGTTTTCTGGGTTCACAATATGCCCTTTTCCTTATGATGTTTCCGTAGTTAATCCACTTTTCATTCCCAGTTATATCCAGCTCAAGAAGGTCTTGATTTTGTTCCAAGCAAGTAGAGATTTGCATATGACGACTCAATCATTCAAATTCTTCTGACCTAATTCATGTGGCACCCATCTTGAATATTTCCACACCAATCCTATCTTCTGAATATGGTCCGAAAAGGTTTGCTGAGCTGAATTAAGCCTTTCTGCAATCTCCAATGCTTTCAGAAAAGGACCTTGTTCCAACGCAGTCTTAACAACATCGTCGTTGGTCAAAGATCGTCACCCAGAACGTGGCTTATCAAAAGGTTGAAATCACATGTTTCAAATTTTTCGAACCATCTTCTGCACGTCCTGTCAGAAACTGTACCTTCACCAAACACTTTTAATTAAATTTCTACATGCTTCTGTAGCATTTCTTCCTTGTTAAAATTGGTATAAAATACAGTGACGTAAATGAACTTTATCAGTAGCCATGAATACACTATCGCTTCACACTTAACACTAACGTGAATCAACTTTGTTTTTGTTAATTTGCTACATCAGTATGTATACATTAGGAAATAAAAATAGAGAGCTGATCCTGCGCCAAATAAACATGCACTTACGTGTCGAAAATTCTTGTCATAAAACGGATAGAACTTTCTGGTATACCGAATATTTTATTATTTCACTTACGTTTTCATTCTTTAACTAGGATTCTCTTGAAGTACAAGATTCTAATTAGAATTTGCTTTGTTGTTTTCCCCCTTGCTTTCGGAGGGTTCAGAATTTTCGGGTGAACTATTATAATTAAAAATACATTGAAATGGTTCAACTCCTAATTCTGGATACAGAAAACCAAGGATTTTTATGGAAGAGAGATTTCAATGGATTTTAATGTTCCTCCTTCTGACGAAGTGGCATTGAATTTGATTGAATTCCTCTTCTATTATGTTCGTTTTTCTTTAAATTTTTGCATTGGGGTATTGCTTGTTTGAAAAGTTTTGGTTTAACATTTTTTAAATTTTTTTTTTTTTTTTTTTTTTTTCCATTTATAGGATTATTTGAAATTTATTAACTATAAATTTCAATTTTTCATCTTTGTGAAAAATTAGTTCTAAATTTCTTACTTTATGTATATATATACATAAAGTAAGAAATATATATATATTTCCTTAATTTTGCAGCACATTGGGCAAAAAATATTTTGACCTTGGTCTTTTTTGTATTATTCTTACAACTTCTTTACAATTTTGCTGAGAACTCAACAAAATTTGACCTACTTAAGGAAATTTGATTAGGTAATTTGGAAATTTTATTATGCTAGAAAACTGGTGATTAACAATGAAAGTTGAATTGCTTTATAACTGTCATCCAAAATAGATCCAGTACATCCTACGTAAAAGAGCCAGATTTGGTATAAAAGCATTTTTATGTGAATCACAAAATGGAGAAATATATAATTATCTAACCTATAAATGCAAAAATGCTAAATAAAAATGCAAGCTTAGACTGGCATAGATTTTGAATGAAACTCTATATTGATTTTGAGGGTGAGTAGATATAGGTCCATCTTCTTTAGGAACAAGAAAAGTTTTGGCAAAAGTGAAAGGAGAAATAATAATTTTATATGAAAATCAGTGTGTGGGGTAAAGCAAAACTGAACAGAGCACAGAACAAACAATGCATCTGTCAAAAAGAAAGAGGAAAAAAAAAAAAAAAAAAAAAAAAAAAAAAAAAAAAGAGAAGAAAAAAGGTAGTAATTGAAAAAGTTTAATTTCCATATAAAGTGACTTCCTTCTCTATCCTATAGCTGATTGTGTTATAGCAGTCCTGGAAACTAGCATTTTATAGAAGAATTACAAAATCCATCACATACAGGAACTGAAACCAATTAACTTCAAGAGACATCATAAAATTGCAAATTAGGCTTTTCAAGGCATCCTGTGCACCTTTTTGCATAATGGAAATGTAAATGCATATAATTGCTGCATCTGGGTGAGAGAGAACCCACACATAATTGTTTAAACCCTTTCATATAGGCCAAAGATGATGCAGTTCATTATAAATAGCCCCTTTTTGGGGGGAAAGTTGACAGGGCAGTGTTTTGAAAATTTTTAGAGTGAAATGTTATGCAGCGCTTTTAAAAGGCATTCCCTTTTGGAAAAGATGTAAGGGCTTCATAATGTAACATTTATGCAGAATGAAGAGCCTCTGCATGTGCACTGATCGACATTTGTTGATGACCATATCCTCATCAACAAATGTCTGCACAGATGGCAGTGAAAGTCTTGAGACCTTGCAGCTTGTCACTTATGACGCATCTTGAATCTGCAGGTGCATAGGATTAACCAATGTTATTGGCTGTAATGAAAAGAACTGCTTATCATCATGTGACAGGAATTACTGCTGAACTGTCTCGCAATTTTTGCAGAGTGTTGGACCAGGTCTGGCCACCTTTATCATGGATGACATCTGGTATCTTGAAGATTAATAATCATAGCTGTATTACAAACTGTGCTGCACCACTATATGAACTTCTGAGATAATGGATTCATCACATGTCGATAAAAAATATAACTATTCTGGTAATAAATCTTTCATTATTAAAAAAATTCCTTGTCTTTCTATGTATTTCTGTGAAAACCACATCATGGTATTCTTTATGCTTTTCAAATTAATGAATTTTTTAGTTTGAATTACTGAGTATATGAGTGCATTAATATGTCTTTGATAAAAGAAGGCAGCTAGGTTTACATTGAATTTTCTTACCAATGCATAAAACTGTAGATTTATTTCCGTTCCAAGAAATATTGGCTTTTTGAGATGTAGCAGTATAGTATGTGTCTGTAATTGGTAGTAATTCTGTACTCCTGAAAGTATCTGTATTCCTCATTTAAGAATTGCTTGTATGTTTGTGTTTTGAAATATATATTTATTTCATTTAGATTCATTTTTCTCCTTTTAGGAGCAAATACTTTGATTTTGCTGACAAAGGATTTCGAAGCTATAGCAGAAAACAGTCTTGATTGTAATGAATTTGGTGAAAGTAAGATATTTTAATCTGTGTATTTTTTCTGTTAAACTAAACGATTATAATAGTATCATGTGATTTAGAAATTAAAAAAAAAATCATTGTGAAAATTAAAAGTTATACAGTATAGTTATGCAGTGGAACAATAATGAAGAAATTAAAATTTATGTTACATCTAGTACTTCAGGAGATGTCTATGGAAGGAATATTGTGATAGTTCTTCTAATGCAAAAAGGCTGAAGTTCCCCCCTCCCTTTGATGTGTATGTGTAGGGTTGTGAGAAAGTTCTATTTATAGAATTCTACACCATCTTTCTCTGTATTCTGTATCACATGTACTGTTTAAAATATTTATACACATACCCCTCAGGCACACACACACAGACATATATATATATATATATGAATAATTTCTGTATAATGTATCAAGTCTAGCTTTAATTTCAAGATATTATTTAACTAAAATATCATATAAAGTATGAATGACTTAAGGGACACATAATATAATGCAGCAGTAGTACTGTGTAAAAGGAGTACTATAAAGTATACTATACTGTGTAAAAGAATTACAGTATTATCAATTGTATTTCAAAACAGCATATGGATATTATAATTCTTTGATTTTCTATTCTATTTGAGATGTATTTGTTTGTGATTATCAGAATAACCAATGTCTGTACGTTTTTCCAAATGTAAAATGCATCTTCTTTTTTTCTTTTATACAGTCAAAAGTTGTTAATCCGGACTCGTCGGGACTTCGGCGATTCCGGATTATAGATCATCAGTAAATCGCGTAAGATGGCATGCAGAAATTCTAAAATTAAAAATATGAAACCGTAATTTATGAAATAAAGAACAATTATGATCTAAAGGGTATCAAAATTTACAAAAAAAAAAAGCTTAATATTTATTTGTTTACTTTATTAAACATTTCTTTCAATGTAAGTTGTTTAAGTTGCTTCGTTTTATGTGATAATACTTTCTCTTTAATTCTATAAACAGACATAATTTTTTGTTCACTTACAAAGTTCCACTGTTCAAGTCCCATTAATTGCTGTGCCGAGAATACTGACTAGCTTGTCAATCAAAATTTTTTCGTTTTCACTAACCTATCTGTCACATTCTTCATGTCTTTATCCATTTTTTGCAGCAATTCCACTTTTTGTTTGATGGACATCGAAACATACTTTCGTTTTGTACGATCCTTTGGGAGCTCCAGAATCAAAAATTCTATTTGACATAATCGAAAGTTCAAGTTTACTTTTATAGTATTGCTCTTACAGTCTGCAAAAAATAATAAGCGGGATCCAATTCGAAAATTAAGGAACAACGCAATCATCAACATTAACTGAAATAGATAATTAGATAATTTTAACTTACACCGTCCGTTATACATAAAACGCGCACGCGAAAACGTATACGTATTCTGCACTTGCGCACACGCAAATGCGCAGTCATAAGAGGTCTTACGCGCAGGCGTAAACGCCTATGCGCATATGTCAACGCGGCGCATGCGCAGAAAGTTTTTAGCTTTGAGGTCCGGATTATAGATCATTCCGAATTATGGGTGTCCGAATTAACGACTTTTGACTGTATTTAAGTTATTGTCTTTAGATTTCTGATTTTTTTCTACAGATTTTTTTTAAGAAAGGGTATTCATGCAGGGTTTTTTTTATTATTTATTTTATTTTATTTTTTTTTTTATTTTACTAATTATTTAGAGTACAGGTATTTTATTTTCCACCGTTTGCATACTTTTATGAATTTTACTATTTTTCTGAATTTGAGCTCTTGCTGTTGTTAAAAAATAATGAAATATGATGCATAAATAAAAAAAACTTTATTCCTGTGGTGGTGTCTCTCTAGGAGACTTATTTTAAAAGTAAATCTGACAAATGGGTAAAATCTACTTGGTTAATAAATGGCATCTTTTTTCTCTTTTTTTTGCTCACTGTTAGTTATTCAAATGCCTGAACTTATATCTGCTGAACATGCCATTGATAAGCTGTTTATGCTGTTTAATATATTTGAAGACATTTTTTTGGTTCCTTTTAAATGTATGCAGATTACATCCATCACTTGATGAATTCTTGTATGCAATCACAATTCTAAAATTACCTAGCAAACTATTGAGGGCCCATGGCCGTCCTGTTTACTAATTTTTCCTTAATTAGTATTCTACGTATAATTGTATCATTCTTATATATTTGATTCATTTCTCGCTGTGTGTCTCCTCTATTATATGGTATAATTTTGTATGCATTGTAATGTAGTTAACATGGTAATAGCACTGTAACTTAAGGTCTAATATTTTGGAACCAAAGATTCGCACTAACCTCTCAATTATTTTAGTTATGTCTTGCTTTACATCTTTATGCTTTCAGCTTTTATCACCAGCTCGCATGACACTTTCCCAGATGGCCTGGCATTTTCTTACCAGTCGCTGAACTTTTAGCAACTTTGCAACCATCATCATTTCTTCCTTCTTCCTATATATAATATAATTATTCAAAAAAAAAAATTCTTCATTCAATTTAGATACGGCTAAAATTCATTATTGCACATGATCATTAATCATTATTTACATATTCCTTTTACTAGTTACTTCCTTGTATTTATTCATAAATGCCTACCTAAATTTTCAATTAAGGGTGAGTAAATTTTCAATTTGACCTAAGTACCGTGGTGTTGCATTACTCTCTTGGGTTGCTTGTTAGTTATTCAAAATTAGCTTGGGAGTTCTGTTATAAGAAAAAGCATTATGCATTCTAGATTATAATCAAGTATTTACGTATATTATTCTGATATAAGGAGGGAACTGTTGAATTGACAGATTTGTGACATTTTGGTGAGTAACTTTCTTTTTCCTTAACTAATTTTGGCCAATAAATTGTATAAGCAGTTTCGTGCTAACTACAGTTTGAGTAAATTTCTTGTTTCTTATCTGTGGCCTTGATTAAAAAAAATAAAATGCAAATTGGACTTAATTCTGATATTTCAGTTATAGAAAATTAACAAAAGTTTTCATTTCTATTTAAGTGAGAATAAATTTTAATAATAATGTAGGCACAATACTTTTCATTTCTTGCTGTGTTAATTACAGTTATTGTAATACTTTTCAGCATGTAAAGGAATTAGCTAAAAAATGTGCTTAATTCATAGCTGGCTGCTATGATTTTATGAGATTTCACCAATCAGTTTAGAAAAATATGAATTTTCTTTTGAGGTATGAGTAAGATAAGTTATATGTTTGGTACTAGTGATTTTAAAAGTACCATCAGGTAATTCTTTATATCTAAAAATGGTAAAAAAACACAGTTTTTCCTAAAATTGTAACCAGATTTATTGCTCATATTTTCATGTAGTGTTTTATATACTGTGGAAAATATGATGTACATTAGCTAACTGTTTTAAATAATTAATTTTTTTTCTTAAACAGCAACAGTACCATAGTTCTTTGAACCTAAGACAAACATTTTTTTTAAGCGTTGCTAAATATAGCATACATCTTTGAATCAAGGCATTTTTGAATCACACACTTTTCCCCTTTACTAATAATTTTAAAAATCATATTTTTTTCAAATTACTAATTTAAATTTAAATAATATTATTGATAATAAATAAATGTTGATCCCCAAGAATATTTGCTAAATGTATTTTGATGTTTTATTTATTTTACTTATTTTATTTTCTTAAAATAAAAGTCTTTTTTTTTCTGTTTATGGAATTCAAATTACAGGGTGCATCTTAAAAGCAGTCATATGTTAGATTTATAGTAATTTACCATAGTAGGGAAATTGTAGGGTCACCATTCCACAGAGATGTGTATTCTTCCAAGGATAAAGATGGCATACCTGATTTTTACGTCCACTATTTTAAGTAGATTAGAAAATATATTAGTTTAGTGCATATATACAGATAAAAGAAATAAGATGTGAGTCATTTAATGCAATCGAAGAGTGATCACAACCGGAATCCACATTAGTAACATGTATGCAAATTTGCAGGAAAGTCAACTATATTCCATGACCAGAGCAAGATCAGTTTGATGCTTCACTTGCATCTGCGAGAAATAAACTGTCATGGGTCAGTTTCAAATACTCTCATCTGCTAAATGAGATGGAGAAAGCTGGTAGCACCATCTCTTGGATTGGGCTACTACTTAAGTGTTCTCCAGGGTATTCCTCTCCAAATGCTGAAGGTACGAAGAAAGTTATAAATATACTGTGTTGATGTATGTCTTCCCCAAAGGGTGACAAGTGGTGGAGTACTAGGATAAAGCAGGAGGAATCAAAGCTTCTAAGACTGCAGGCTTCAGCCCATCGATTTGTAGGATTGTTTCCTTATCATGCACGAGAACGGTGAAATGTTTACTGCATGGACAAATTTTGAAGAGACCTTTGTTTGGAGGAGTGAACAGAGGTTTTTCTCATTGTTATGGACAAAAATATGAGAGCAAGTTCTCCATGCAGAAAGCACAAACAAGATAGATGTGTTGTGTCATGCATGATTTATGATTTAGAGGCAGCATTTTCATCACTTCTCAGAAAATCTGTAGGAAGGACGATGTTGTGACTCGAGCAGGGGATGGTTGAAAGAACTCAGATGGTAGTTAAAGCATCATACCATAAACAAGTTCATCAGATATACTTTTCAGGTCTTGCTTGAAGGAAGAACTTAGATCAAGAAGCACAAGAATAAGTGATGTAGTCCAGCAAATGTTATTATGATACATGAAGGCTGCCTTTAGGCCACAATGAAAATTCTTCAGGCTATTTGCAGAAGGATTATACAGTGAAGTGCAAATTCGCCATATTCCTAGCATAGATATTAAAGAAACGAGAAGGTGAAACTGTGATCCCTGTATGGATTATAAATGATGGCACATCAAATTGTGCAATCCAACCAGAGGTGAATTATCAAGCCACAGATTCAGCAGAGATGTCTTTTATGAGAAAACCTTTGGGCCATTAAGTAAATCTCTCAGCAGTTTTAAGTTGGTATTTGTAACCTTCA